CTATATATATATATATATATATATATATATTAAGCAGCACAACTGTTGATCAGATCAACATTGATTAATTGCAGCCTTGGTGAGCATAAAAAAAAATCAACAAACTCCAAACACTTGAACAGTAGTGTAACTGTTACAATTAGTTGTTGTTGTTGTTTTATATAAATAATTTTTTTCTTTCTTTTTTTAAATAGAGAAAAATTTAACTTTCAGTACTGTAAAGTGACATCACTAACAGAGGATCCCTGATTAATCAATAATATATTTTGTTTTCTATTTTCATTATTGATTTTTGCTGATTCATTGCTGCATTGCTTTAGGTACTTATTTTGGTGGTACATTAAACATTTAACCAAAATATTGAGTAATTTGATTCAATATGTGCAAAATTATATTATTTGTGATTTAAAAAAAAAATAGTGATATGTAATCATTATGATCTATTAAAGGGATTCAGAGCATATTTCCATTATGAAAAGCTTGTAGGAAAATGATGAAGGAATATAATTATATATATATATATAATTTTTAGATAAATAATTTTGACTACCCGAGTTCTTCTCAAGAGCCCGAATTTTTTTCTTATGCATATGGATTTATCGCTCTCCTTAGTTGAACCTTTCTTTGTGCGCTCTATGGTAAAGGGGAAACTATGGGTGTATAATCCCCTTCTCACTGTCCAGCTAAGCACCTCTCCTCACTTCCTGCTCCCGTTCTTCTCTCTTTTATCACTTGCAAATGGCCCAATAATGTGTTTGCTCTGGCTGCAGGAAGAGTGAGGAGCTCCTCTGCAAACATTTACACTCTCACTGACTGCTTTGGACCACTTTCACTCCGTCCTGCAGTCTGAATTTCCAATCGTTCCACTTCAGCAGACCTGAATACGTTTGCTTTATAGGCCTTTGGACTAGATGAAAGTTACACAAACCTCACTTTCTCATCAAGCATTTGTTTGAGACTGAAATCGCTCAAAAATCAATGACGTTTTATGGGAAAGGTTAGCTCTGACAGGGTGGAGTTAACATTTCTTGCAGACCATTTGAATATAGGGATGTCTTTGATTCTAGCTTTAGTAATTACATGCATTACATGTATCTGTAATATGGGACGTTTTTTTCTGTAACAGGTGTGTGTGGACTGATCGTTCCTCAAGAGGACATGGCCTTCTGTGACTCAGGAATCTGCCCTGACATCATCATGAACCCTCATGGTTATCCCTCCAGAATGACTGTACGATTATATGATGTTTATATTTGAATGAATTTACTTGTTCCAAAGAACACACTTTTATGATTTTATATAGAACATTTAAAGAACCCATCAAGTAAGATAGTATTTTTTATACATAATATTAAACCTCAAAATTTAAAATGTGTTTTGAATATTTCAGGATTTTATTCAGATGCCTTGCTACACAGTTTTCTGGAATACATGATTCTGTTATTTAAGAAATGTGCAGCATTTTGTCCAAGCAATAATAAAAGGACACATTTAATTTATAATTTGTCTTAAATCTCACTTTTTAAATTTTTTTAAAATAATCGTGAATTGAATCGTGAAATCAAAATCGTGAATCGAATCGTGAGTTGAGTGAATCGTTACATCCTAGTTATTTTTATAACTGAGTAGTGTCCCAGGCAACTAATGAAAATCAAGATTTTAGTATATTTATGTGTTAATTAGCCATGTAATAAGCAGGATAAAATACATCAGCTGGCTGTTTTGCAGTGAATACATATTCCTTTGATAGCTGAGATTTTTAAAAATCAAATACTTTTATTTTGGCTCTGATTTGAGTGTGTGTGTGTGTGTGTATTTATTTTTTAATTTTTTGAATGGTCTCCTAATGTACACTACCATTCATAAGTTTGAGTCTGTAAAATGTTTTAAAAATATTTCTGATTCTCTTATGCTCACCAAGGCTGCATTTATTTCAGAAAAATAAATCCGTAACATTTCCATTTAAAATAAGAGTTTTCTATTTTAATATATTTTAAAATACAATTTATTACTGTGATGGCAAAGCTGAATTTTCAGCAGCCGTTACTCCAGTTTTCAGTGTCACATGATCCTTCAGGAATCATTCTAATATGCTAATTTCGTGTTCAAGAAACATTTATTATTATCAATGCTGAAAACCTTTATTGTGAATGAAAATCTTGTGTAGCATTATAAATGTCTTTGCTGTCACTTTTGATCAAACTATTAATCTTTTGTTATAATATGCAATATAACAAAGAGTGAAAAATTTAAGGGGGTCTGAATACTTTCCGTACCCACTGTATATATATATGTTTGAATGGTAGTATTTATGAAATGGATGCTCCTGTTTGCCTAAAGTTGTCAAAGTCTTGTTGTCTTATACAGTGCAGTTTATGCAAATCTCACAATGTCAGTTTTCAGAGACATTAATTCACCCATGCTTTTTCATTTTGAACTCTGTGTTTGGGTGCACACAGCAGGCCGTCATATAGGAAATTGTTTGAACTGAGGAAAAGATTCCTCTCAGTGACAGAGAGGGGTCAAAGATCTTCTGGCTCTTTCTGTGAGTGACCTCAGTAAAGGCTACTGTCGTGCAGCGGTGTGTGACCTCAACATGATGTCACGCTCACATTCACAGCTGCACTGTTAGGAAGGGGAAACTGGGGCATCTACACTGCTGCGGGGGGGAAACGTTATTAGTTTCCTTCAAGGAGCAATTGAGCTTGTATCACATTAATGTTTAGAATGTGCATCAATCTTCGAACACAAGCAATCAAATTAATTAAATGAGCTCTGCTTTGATTTGTTTCGGGTTGGGAAGCTGATTGAGCTGTTGGCTGGTAAAGCAGGGGTGCTGGATGGACGTTTTCACTATGGCACTGCTTTCGGGGGCAGTAAAGTGAAGGATGTGTGTGAGGATCTTATCCGCTATGGATACAATTACCAGGGCAAGGATTATGTCACCTCAGGCATCACAGGGTAAAAACTGTTCTTTAGCATCACTTTTGTTCATTTGCATATTTATATTTCACCAATACAAGTTTGTTTCACAGTTCAGTTATTAATGCTTCAAGTTACACTTTACAGTAAGGTTTCATGTTAACACATTAGTTAACTACTTTAGTTAACACTAACTAATAATAAACAATACTTCTAACGCGTTTATTAATCTTAGTTAATGTTAATTTCAAAATATACTAATACATTATTGAAACCAAAAGTTGTATCTGTTAATATTTTTTAATGGACCTAATCTAACATGAACTAACAGTGAACAGTTGTGTTTATATTAACTAACATTAACAAAGATGAATAACTAGAAACAACAAATTACTCATTGTTAGTTAATTTTAGTTAATGCATTAACGCATGTTTACTAATGGAACCCTATAAAATGTCATCTTGTAAAGATTTGAATACTTTTAAAATTAATAGCTACATTGTATTTGAATTTCTATATATTGCGAAAATCAAAAGAGCCACCAGAGAGTGTTTTCTCTGTTGCACATTACTGTAATTAATTAATTAGTTTTTTGGTAATTTGCTCTTAGGGAACCTCTGGAAGCCTACATCTACTTCAGTCCAGTCTATTATCAGAAATTAAAGCACATGGTGCTGGATAAAATGCATGCCAGAGCATGTGGTCCGAGAGCAGTACTCACTAGGTAAGAAAGGCGAACATATGTGTTCTCTGAAATTTTATTTGTTATATTTATTCTTTAGGATAATAAATTGTTTTTTAGATGTGTTCCAGAGATGGTGGTCTCCGTCTGGGAGAGATGGAACGAGACTGTCTCATTGGCTACGGAGCCAGCATGCTGCTGCTCGAGCGACTGATGATCTCCAGTGATGCTTTTGAGGTGGATGTGTGTGGCCAGTGTGGCTTGCTGGGATATTCAGAATGGTCAGTAAAATCCATTACGATAGTGCAGTTTTATTAAATTATTAAATGGATCAAAGGGGATTTATTGGTGAGAACTTTGTCTGTTTATTGCAGGTGTCATTACTGCAAGTCTTCGTGCCATGTGTCATCTCGCTTACGCTTTGGTGAAATGATACAGTATGAGCGATACAGTATTATTAAGGACTACATACAACATTGAAACGTCTTCATTTCATTTTTGTTAAACATCTTGTATCTTTTATATATATATATATATATATATATATAGAGGAG